TAACAATAATGTGTGTTATGAAATCGTATTCCACCTGCTTGGATACATACTTTGCCAAAACCTTAAATAATGCAATCACAGCATCATTTTTTAGTTTACTAAATACACTTACCTTACCTTAGTGAATTATTTTGAGTGCGAGTAAATTCTGAATATTACAATAACAAGTGGAAGAGTTGATATAAAAACATGAAACTATACAGCATATAGATGAACATTCTGATTTTGTTAAACATAAAGGATATTTTGTAGTTAACATATTTTTCCAGATTATCAAAGGGTAAAGCAACTATGGAATCAATTAATACATCCAACCTTTAAAAAAATACTTAAAGAAGTGTAATGTTTATGATTATGTAGAAAGGTAAGTTCTTTGTTTAATTATTTTTGTTAAAGTAAACCAACTGATTAAGCATCGTTAAAGTGTAAAGATTCCACTTTTCCCCATGACTGTAAAAGAAAGATGAGGAAGAGACATGAAGCCGTCAGTGATAAGAGTAATGAGGGGAATGTTTAACCTGTTTATCTCAGCTGATCATAAATATATAAACACATAACATATATCAATGTTTAAATTAATTAAGACATTGTCTGAAAAAATACAAGTTCCTGAAATATGTTCAAATCTAGTTTAATTTCAGCCAGTTGGGACTCTATAAATCATCCATTGTTATTAAATGTTTTATTGCGCTAACGCAGAACAAATGCAAAAAAGTCAGCAATAACGTGGATAATGAATATGTGATGCTCTGCTATTCAGTAAAAATATCTGAAAATATAAAGCATAGTGTAGTGTATATAAACTCTTACAATCAACACATTGCAATTTGTTTCCCCTGATCTGGGAAAACAAAATACAGGGAATTCAATTTAAATTCAACAATGACAGCTGAATAAGTAGATGTAAGGTTATTAATAAGTAAATAAATAATAAATGTAGACTTAAGCATAACTAATAAGTTAAATTAAATGACCCAATAAATTTCCACTTACATTTTTTATTGCATTGTGTTCTGTTAATATATCAACAATATTATCCAAAAGTAACAGCAAAAATGTTAAGAAACACTTACTTATTTAAATCTAGCATTTTAAAGGGCCATAAAGAGAAAAAACATCTTAAAAAAAACAGAAAAATAAGGGTTACTTACGAATATATGCCCCGTTTCTTTTTTATAACCTAACCGAGCATAATTTTATGGAGGACCAGTTCTACCATATTTAGAAATAAATACAGAAACAAATAAATGCTCAATAAATAAATAAGCATACAATTATTTGCCCCCAAAAATACAATAAATAAATGTAGGTAGAAATTAAGTTATACAGTGAGAAGTAAATGTATATATCTTTTTAATAGCTTCTTTATTTATTAACCTTTTTAATAATTACATTATTTATGTGCATGTTATATTTTTGTCTGTTTTATTCTTCCTTTGTATTTTTTTACCCTATTTATTCCTTCCATAATTTTTATTTCTGCCTGTCATTTTTACATTTCCGTCTGCATTTCTGCCTCATTATGCAAATGAAGGGGTGTGACTTAGAGGCTCAACTTTCTGCTCATTGGTTGGTCAGCATTTTACGTCCAATCTACAGGAGGAGAGGAGAGTCTAAAGTCCAGTCTGAAGTCACTGGCCGTTTCTCAATTCAAAAGAACTCGAGTATTATAACATACACATAAATAAATAAGGTAATTATTACAAAGCTGAATAAATAAAGAAGCTAATAAAGAGATATAGTATATATTTATGCCTCACTGTATAATTTCATTTCTACCTACATTTGATAAAGCTTATAGTTAGAGTGGCCCAGGTTATCCTGAGCTATCTCTATAGTTATGCTGCTATAGGCTTAGACCTCTGGAGGACATAGGGACCCCTTTTTCATCATTCTATCTCAATTCTCCCACTCTGCAGAATCTGTTAGTTCAATCTCTAACATTCTGCTCTCACTGCTTTTTCCTCATAGTAGCTTTGCCTCGTCTGTTCCTGTTTGGCTGTGGCACCATCCTGGAGAGAAATATCAGCTGTGCTGCTGCCATCAACACCTTTGTATATAGATGTTGGAGATCGGCCTGTTTTCCAGTGTAGTCCTGTTTCTCTGAATGTGACTGGCTGGATGTGCTCTCTTCATCCTCTGGCATGGGAGTTGGCTCAGAGCTCGTCTGCCTGGCTGTGTGTTTCCTGGACGGGGAGGGATTGCATTCGAGTCAATGAGTCGATACAATCAACTGGTTTTCCTTAGAAAACTTTGAATCAGTTTGACTGTATTATCTGGTGAAGTGTAAAGTACCTTGAGATGACATGAGCTCTGAATTGGCACTATATAAATAAACATAATTTAATTAATTTATTTATTATATTTTTAGGCATAACTAATTGTATGCTTATTTATTTATTGCGCATTTATTTATTTCTGAATTCATTTTTAAATATGGTAGAGCTGGTCCTCCATATTATTTAAGTTTCCTCAAATAATTAAGCATTCCGTTCACTCCTCGCACTACAAGTCCCATGAAGCATTGCGCGTGTCGCCATAGTAGCGCGAAGTTCGTTTGAGCTTCCGTCCATTATGAACAGTCCGGTTCGCCTCTTCGCCGCTTTACCGGCGGCAGAAACCAGGAGTAAAGACAAACAGCAGAGCCTGGAGGCGGCAGTAGTTCGGAGGGAGGGTGTCGGTAAGCCGGTGAGGGAGGTTCAGGTCAGCGGGGTGGCGGAGGTTTCCTGCCCGGCCGACCGAGCAACAGTGCGGGTCAGTGTGAGCAGCAGTAAGGAGTCAGTGAACGAAGTGACCAACAGCATTTCACGAAGACTGGAGTACATTTTACAAACAATCAGGTAAAAAAACAACTAGAAGTTTATGACTGTGCAGTTAGCTGTCCCATTTATATATTTATAAAGCTTCTGTTAACGCAGCATAATTCAAGCACCACCATGTTCTCCTATAGATGGTGCGTTCACTGTCACTTTACAAGATAAACTAAAGTATGAAGGACCAACTCTACCATATTTAAAAATAAACACAGAAATAAATAAATGCTCGATAAATAAAGCATACAATTAATTGCCCCTCAAAAAACAAACAAATAAATGTAGGTAGAAATTAAATTACAGTGATACATAAATGCATATATCTCTTTTAATTAGCTTCTTTATTTATTCACCTTTGTAATAATTACCTTATTTATTTATTGTCTGTTATAATCTTTCATTTCAAGCATATATCTGTGTTATGATGATGATTACTTTCCACTTTCAGGTAACGAAATTAAATTCCTAGAAGAAAGTGTGACGTTTTGACCAATGGAATATTTTTAGAATAGAAATATGGACCCTAGGAAAACTTTTTGTGTCACCCTTCTAATGTTTGTAATTTTTAAGGTATTTCTGCAGCTGTGTTGTTGAAGTCAAAGAGCTTCGATTGCACAAAGCAAAGATGCTTGATATATAACACTATAATACTCACGTTTAATATTATAATAAAAGCTAAAATTTGATTTATTATCCATTTAAACCATTATATAATGAGATATGTCAGGATTAAATGTGCAGGTAAGTAAAAAAGGTCGATGTTTTCTGTCCAGAGGACTCCTAATACCTTTAATTTATCCTTTTTTTAGGGGTATTAAAGTTAAGCTGCTGTTTATTTCCTTAGCAAACATAAAGACAACAAACTTTTTTTATGTCACAGTAAAACATTGCAAGGTGCTTTATATTAATGCAGCCCACCATTTATATATTTATAAAGCTTCTGTTAACACAGCATAATTCAAGCACCACCATGTTCTCCTATAGATGGTGCGTTCACTGTCACTTTACAAGATAAACTAAAGTATGGAGGACCAACTCAACCATATTTAAAAATAAACACAGAAATAAATAAATGTTAACTAGATAGTCTAAGGCACATCATTGTTTTTCTGATTAAATAATTTTAATCAATCAGAGGGAGGAATTGTATAACCTTTGAGCGCTTCTGTATTCAGTCTGTGTTTTCTTTCCAGGCAGCATGGAGTCAGAGACGAAGATATGTCAGTGAGACGCTATCTTCACCGAGATGCCGACACCTTTAGCATGGATGCAGAGGTGAGCTGTTTGGACAGCTAACTGGTATTTAACAACATGAGAGCAGACAGCTGGGTGACATGATGGTGTTTCAAAATCTTTCACAGATCATAGTGACTTTCTCAGAATTCGAGAAGATGGAGCAGATGTGCAGCATCCTGCTGGACAAGCTGGATAAGAGCGTCCATGTTGGGGCCCCCCACTTCTTCCACAGTGCTGCATGTCTGAGTCAGCTGAGGTGCTTTAACCGTGGCATTCAAATGTCCTTCTATTCAAATCAAATGCAGGAGTCCTAAGTGGTGTGTTTGCTTTTTAGGTTGCGTGCGTGTGTATCAGCAGTGGAAAATGCTAAACAGAAAGCCAGCAGGATCAGTCAACTGATGGGGGAAAGCCTGGGATCTCCCCTCCTGGTCAGAGAGGAGGAGACCAAGGAGTGGAGGAGCGAGGAGGAGGAGGCTGCAGGCGGAGAGCACGGCCCAACGCCCCCTCTTCCTCACATACCTACAGCCACTGCTTCCTCACACGTCTCCCTTTCCTTCAGCTTCAGAGACAAAAGCAAGAAGAAACTCTAAACATACCATGAACGCACACTTTAAAAACAAAAACACTTTATTGCACAATTTTCATGCTTGGACAGAAGTGTAATTTTTTTTTTCCCCAAAGCAGAGACAAACCTGTGAATGGATTCCTAAAAGTTGATTTCAAGCATTTAGTGGGAATTTTAACAGAATTTTGAAGTTTTTATGGAATTCATTTAAAATGATCATCTGTACAAATTAGAATAAAATAATCTATACCTCCAAAAATAAACATTCTCACACTGAGTCCCCGTGAGGAGAGATTCAGTGTGTATCCCTGATTTACACACCCTGTGGTGTTTAAGTTCAATACTGGCCTTAAGGAAACTTCACCACCGTCTAGAACATCAGGCTGTGAAGCACATTTATGGAGATAATGCAGTCTCCGTCAGCTGTCCTCAACGTCGTCCTCTGGGAAGAGCTCTCTGAGCCAGTCCTGCATGACGAACCGCTTCCCGTCAAAATGCGTGAAGTAGTTCCCCAGGGTGGGAATATCCGGCTGCAAACATCCAACAGTGAGCTCAGCCGTATGTGAATAAAACAAAGATGTGCTGCGACTGGAAGTCCTTACCCTCATTCCTGTGATGCGCTCCAGCTGTGTTTGAGGCAAGTATGCGACCATCAGAGAGGACGGTCCAGACCCGCCAAACAGCACCTTGTAATGCGGCGTCTTCTCTGCCTTTGTGTCCTTTCCTCACAAAAACAAACCGACTTTATTATTAATAATCAACCTTAAGACGCATTAATTTTGCTCATAGTATCTTTGGTATCACAGAGAGAAGATGTGTAAACTACGGTGGCCGACAGATGCAAACGTGCAGTGAACAAGGAACGAGCTGCAAAAAAATGATGGAAACTTCAAAACATGCAAAACAGAAAACAAATGCAACAGAAACATGCTGCAATTATTTAAAGAAACTGATACAAATAGTAAAAAAAAAGCAAACTTGCGCCACAAAACGGAAGTGCTCCAGACCCACTAGAGGGAGTCAAAGATAGAACAAAGCATATCAGACCAGAGTGTTCCTTATATTATGTATAAATCCACTTTTATTCTTTAATGCTGTTAGACTGTTTAAAAAAAACTGAAAAGAAAAACTCTCCTTTCTTCCAACTTTTGTTTTTTTTTTTTTTAATCCTGTGTTAAGGGAAACAGCTGTTCCAACCATTGCATTTCCAAATTCTCCCGAGGGGTGCCCGACTTTACGTGAGGGAATAAAATGAATGTGATTGGTCAATTATCAAGGGGGCGGGATTGTTGTGGCCGACGGTTCGCTGGGACACTGGGATGGAACTCAATGGTAAAGTAAATGATTCTTATTTCAACCGTTGCGTATATTAGCTGCGACATATGAATGAAGATGATATGACGAAAAAAAATTTGATTGACAGATGACCGGAGATATATATATGCCGAATTTAGGTGTTCAGGCTGACATATAACTAACTGGCCTGTATAAGATAACGGGGGAAAAAAACACAGATTTTTATGACAGATTTATTTTTTTTTTATAGAATTTTTCTAACTTTTGGGACACTATCGTCTGATAAAGAATACATTTATATACATGTTTAAGCCAGAATTATTTGACATTTAAATAGGACTTCCCCTACGACTTTGGTCTGGAGCTATTTTGTGGTGTGAGTTTGCTGCTGTTTTTACGGTTTGCATCATTTTCTTTCTCTGAGTGCAGCATTTTATTTTTCCTTGCAGTATTTTGTTTCTTCTTTTTTTGCTTACATATTTAGGAGTTTGCATCCCTCATATTTTTGCAGGTTGTTCTTCGTTTACTGTGCCTTTGCACCTGCCGGCCACTGTGTTAAACAGCTTTAGTCTGAGGTTTAACATCCATCTTTATCAGAGCTGCTCCTAAATGTGCCCAATCCCTCCAATCATTCCGGTTTAACAGCTAAGGAAACAGGTTCATGGGTACCAACCTCAGAGTTAGAGTACATTTTGTCCACCCACTCCTTAGGGGCTCGCAGCTCCGGGTCCCAGCTCACCACCACTCCAATCATGTGGCCCTTCCTCTCCATCACCACCTCCCCTACCCGCAGAAACACAAACGGGGGGCGAGGGCTGCGCACTGCTTTGGAGGCTGCAGAGATAAAAAAGGTGTGCTTGTTTTTAAAGAATTTTTTTAGGGGACAGCGCAATCAAATCAATTCATCCAATTAGAGGGAACACAGTGAATCATTGCATCACTGGATCAGGAGAAACAGTCCAGATATGGCCATTCCTTAACCTCAGGACTACAGCACATCATTACAGACGTGAAATGATTAACAGGACAATTGTAATTAATTTTAAAAGTTAGAGAAGCAGGGGTTGCAGTGGGTAGCACAGGTTGCGGGTTCGATTCCCGGTCCGGGGTCTTTCTGCATGGAGTTTGCATGTTCTCCCTGAGCATTCATGGGTTCTCTCCAGGTACTCCGGCTTCCTCCCAGTCCAAAAGCTCGACTGTTAGGTTAATTGGCTTCTATAAGTTCTAGCTGTGAGTGTGTGCGTGAGTGGTTGTTTGTTTCTGTGTTGCCCTGTGATGGACTGGCAACCTGTCCTGGGTGTGCCCCGCCTCTCGCCCATAGACAGCTGGAGATAGGCACCAGCACCCCTTGCCACCCCACTTGGGATTAAGCGTGTCAGAAAATGGATGGATGAAGTTAGAGAAGCAAGTAGGTAACTTGGAAAAGTACAAACCTCCAAAGAATCCCTGGTCATTATCAAATATCATAGTCTCTACTGGTGGAGACACTGGTTCACCTTCTTGTCCCAAACCAATCAGAGACCTACAGGGAGTCAGAATATTTGTTTGAGTGAAGCTGACATATTTATTTGAAACATTTATTTCTGAAATTAAGTTTCAAGATTAAATTTCACTCACTTCACTTTGGAAAATTGCTGGTTGGTCCAGTCAGCCCAAGCTGTAGCGTTAAGGAATGAAGTTCTCCACTGGTTCCATATGCGAAGCAACCTGAAATCATCATCATGTCTCATTATTACAGCCGTCATTACATTATTAGAGGTGGTTTTAGAGCAGGAGCCTTACCGCGTGGTTGCGTGGTAGCGCTGCGTGGCCGTGGAGCCGCACCAGCGGGAGATGAAGTACTGCGCGGGCAGAGCGGAGAGCAGCAGGCAGAGCTGCAGCGCTGCGGCGGCGCTCATCTGGGGCATGGCCGCAGCTGGAGGCGCACCTTTAAAAGCGTAACTTTATTTCATTTAGATAATACTCATTGAGGCGTATGGTTGGTAAAAATGTCTCTATTTTCCTTATTGGATATTAAACTAATATTTCGGCCGAGTTGCGCGTTAATAATTATTATTTTTCTCACCTGTTTCTCTGAAATCCAACCTTTCCTCCTGCTATCTGCTCAACATTATGTCGCGGAAGGTTGGTTGCGGCTGGAAAAAACAAAGTTTCACTTCTGTTTTATTTACATAAACGTCAACACATGACGGCGCCACCTGTGTATTTATTACAGTATTTAAAAAAACTTCCCAAAACAGGTGCTCTGCCCAATCAGGGCGGCCCACGGAGGAGTTAATGGACCTTTAGCGGCCCGCCACGTCAGGGAGAGCCCGGCTCAGGGAACCTGCAGCTGCGCTTTGGCGACGGTAGGGGGCAGTGTTCTGCAAAACTGCTTCATGCGCACATCCCAATCAAACTTTTTAGTATCAATTGCAATGTCAGTAATGAAAAAAAAAAGACACTGTAGCCTAGTGATATATTCCAAGCATGTATTTACATGATTTTGCTAAGCATGACTAAATTCTATGACAACCCAAAACCCAGTTTCTAACTCATTCCCTAAACTATTATTGAATAGCCTGTGGATTTGAGACAATCACAACCTCTACAAAGACTGTTAATGAAGCAGATTACCTGCAGAATATACAGGTCCTTCTCAAAATATTAGCATATTGTTATAAAGTTCAATATTTTTTTCCATAATGTAATGACAAAACTTGAACATTCATATATTTTTGATTAATTGCACACTAACTGAAATATTTCAGGTCTTTTATTGTTTTAATACGGATGATTTTGGCATACAGCTCATGAAACCCCAAATTCCTATCTCACAAAATTAGCATATAATGAAAAAGGTCTCTAAGCGAGCTATGCACCTGGTCATCTGAATCAACAAATTAACTCTAAACACCTGCAAAAGATTCCCGAGACCTTTAAAACTCCCAGCCTGGTTCATAACTTTAACCCCAATCATGGGTCAGACTGCCGACCTGACTGCTGTCCAGAAGGCCGTCATTGACACCCTGAAGCAAGAGGGTATGACACAGAAAGATATTTCTGAACGAATAGGCTGTTCCCAGAGTGTTGTATCAAGGCACCTCAGTGGGAAGTCTGTGGGAAGGAAAAAGTCGGGCAGATTTAGTTTTTCAGCACAACCTGGCACCTGCTCACAGTGCCAAAACCACTGGAAAATGGTTCACTGACCATGGTATCACTGTGCTCAATCAGCCTGCCAACTCTCCTGACCTGAACCCCATAGAGAATCTGTGGGATGTTGTGAAGAAAAAGTTGAGACACAAACCCAACAATCTGGATGAGCTAAAGGCTGCTATGGAAGCATCCTGGTCCTCCATAACACCTCAGCAGTGCCACAGGCTGATTTCCTTCATGCCACGCCGCATTGAAGCAGTCATTTCTGCAAAAGGATTCCCCACCAAGTATTGAGTGCATAACTGTACATAATTATTTGAAGGTTTCCTTCTTTAGCATTAAGAACACTTATCTTTTATTGGTCATTGAAATATGCCAATTTTGTGAGATAGGAAATTTGGGTTTTCATGAGCTGTATGCCAAAATCATCCGTATTAGGACAATAAAAGACCTGAAATATTTCAGTTAGTGTGCAATGAATCTAAAATATATGATGTTTAAGTTTTATGATTACATTACAAAAAATAATGAACTTTAACACAATATCCTAATATTTTGAGAAGGACCTCTATGTGTAGACGTTGAAATTTAAGTTGACAAAGAGTGAGAGAGATAAAAAAAAAAAATTAAAATACAGGAATAACGGCAGTATCAAAAGGTTTGTTTAAAAAAAAACAAAAAAGGGATTTCAAGAGCTTGGCAAAGATTCACAATCTATAGGCTGAAATTGGAACCTATACTAGAGGTGATGTCTAATGCACTTTAATGGACAGTGCATGAGCTGTCTAATGGACAGTACATTGCTCAGTGCTGTAAACTCCCTTTAAGTAAAATCACAATTTGCAATTTATTTGAAAATAAAGGCCCAAAAGCCTGGAGGGATATTTTTGATGGCAAGTTTGATGAAGACGCTGATTTTATTTCCCTACTGTCAAGCATGGCAGTGGGAAGATAATGTTTTGGGATATTTATTATTTATAAATAATTTATCAAGGATAGGCAACCTGATCAGTGTAAAACAAATTAAAATATAAAAACAGAAACTTGGTCATAGGGAATTATTGTGTTTCAGCACAACAATGACCCAAAACACAGCTAAAAATGATTAGGTGATGATAATCATCATTTTGTAGCGGCCCAGTGAGTCCTGATCTTCTGGTGAGGAAGCTAAAAATTAGGGTTATGGTTGGAGGGCCTTCCAACCTCAAAGACTTGGGGCTTATTGCAAAAGATAGAAGGTCAGACAGTGGAAACGCAGAGAGGTACAGCTATGATGACAGAATTTTCTGAGAAGAGATAATTAGAATATATATAAATATATATATATATTATAGGGTGTAAATCTAATGGAAAACATATGGGCTCAATATGACTACATTTTCAGACTTATTAGCTTCAAAATATTATACCCATTTTCCAAAATGTACCTATACAGGCTTAAAAAAAAAAATCTGATTATATTGAGTCATAAATGACAGAAGGTAAATATGGAAACACAACTGTTTATTTACTTAAAATATTGGTATGAACTAACAGGACAGTAGTACTCCCCTACACATACATTCTAGCTTTATGCTTTTTTTTGCATCACTTCCTTTATATAAAAAAAGTATCCAAACTAACAAAGACAACTTCATCAATAGATTCACATAAAAGAGACCCCCCCCCCCCTCACTTTTTTAATCTCCCTCTGCTCCATAAAACCTCAAACTTAGAACATCTCAACTCTTCCTGGTGGCTCTCGTGCAACCACTTCTCACACACACACACACACACACACACGACTCTGCCACACATCTACAGAGGCTCATTGAGTACATGCAGGTTCTCATGGAACCACATTAGTGATTTTAAAAGAAAACCCTAAGAAATTAATCATGTTATCTGTGACTGAAAGAAGTATCCCTTTCCATATTTTTTTTATTTAGGATATATAGAGAGCTGTGAAGGTATGGCCTGCCATCAGTTAACCCCATATCTCATATCCTGATTTACTAACCCAGGATTCTTTACCATGTGTATTGGCACCCCTGATGCATGTGAAGCTTTAAACAGGTTTAGCTTTCATTGCAGGAGTTTAATCTCACACAGAACAATTCAAAAATACATCTGTTGATTTGCATTCATTTTTTTAGCAAGAAAAACTTCTTGTTCAGAAAATAAGTAACAGCTTTTGTTCCTGGTTTCTGATAATGACAGCCACGTTAATTCGGATTATAGCCACAATATAAAATGCTAAAAAAAACTACCAGGATGATAACTGGAGCGATGCGCTTTGGTCGGAGCAGCCTATGATGGAGCATTTAAGCTTCGTTTTAGGTGAATTTTGGTGTGAATCGTAAGTCCACTGTGAGGTAACCTTTTCTCTGAGCAGTACAGTGGAGGATCTGTAATGCTGTGGGCTTTATGGTCAGGCAGCCCATGGAAACCTTGGAGTGCACGCAAATACAAGGACATTTTAAAATAAAAATCAAGTGGCAGGAGACAGAAAACTAACAGTGTGAGATTATGCTTCTACAATATTTAAGTAGTAGGGATTTTTTTTACCAATAAACAACTGATGTTTATAAATCCATCTGCTGTGCTAACATACATTCAGAATAAAAATAATCGGTTTTATGAGCACATAATGTGTATGTAAAATTATGGAATAGATAAAAGCCATGAACAAACATTTAAAGCTAACTAAATCTTCTACTAAAAATAAATATTTTTATGGTTTAAGATTTCATCTTTAAATCATAGAACATTTTTGTTTCCCATTTTGAGAAAAAGAAAGTCACTATTTTTGACAATTTTACATTTAAAATAAACTTTGTATTATTATCAACAATTAAAAATGTAACCGTATCCTCAAGTACATGTGTGGCAGAGCATAGAGCATCATTCTATCTCCATCGATACGTCGTGTAGTTATGGCAGGGAGACGGAGAGGACAGGGAACACATCATACATAAATGAACATCAACAGTGGAGACAATAGAAGTCGGTTAGAAAACACATTCAAAAGCCATGTTGTAAAACTTCAGTGCCCACAGACAGAATTTGGCATTGGAAAAACCAATGTTTTAAACAATGACAAACAGGATATATGTAGAGTAATATGTGAGCTATGAGATGAACCAGGTGTGTATAGATGCTGGCATCCATCCGGTCCCACGGCATGCAATGAAACTTGCAGATTTGGGCTTTTGCTCGCTCTGCTGGGGGAGAGAAAACATACCAGGAAGGGATGCATCTTTATAAACTCAGTAACCAGAATTCTTTTCTCTATAAACCCAGAGTCCAGTTCTCTGCACGGAGCCATTAGCAGAACCAGAATATCCAAGCATAAAATAAAAAAAGGCCCCATAAGGAAAATAAACGGAGGACTCCATATGCCAGAGTAGCAAAGGCACACTATCAGAAAGGTGAAGTTGTTTTCCGTCATATACAGTTCGATCCGATTTCAAAGCCCCCAACCCTCCCTTCCAACTTATGAGAAAGTGCTAGAACATGCGAGACAAGTTTGCATGTGAAATGTTCACCTTAGAAGCATCAAAAAATTCTTCAAAAGCTTATTTTAGAAATACAAACAGTTACTATCTAAAACTGCATTGTGGCAAGTGTATCTCAAAGCTAGCTCCCACTCTCTGTACCTCTGTATGAACAGACGACTGGGTTGGTTATAGAACGACACACCGACATGAACTCAACAGGTCTAAAACAACAGGTTCATTCTTCTCAGCTGCTATAAGCAAGTTTGTCTGAAAGGTTTTGCGATGATCAAACTGTATATGCCACTGTTTGTCGGCTCTGAGTAAAGCCTGCGCTCACTTATGTTATAAACACACACACACACACGCCTCTCTTTCTGTTGCACATAGGTTACCAGTCAGATGTTTACATCCAAGCAGCAGAGGACTGATGGGGTGTTTCATGAAGCATTTAGTCAACACTCCCATTATAAAAAAAAAAACAAGATTTGGAAACATTGTAGATTTTCAGAAATTATACATTTAAGTTTAAATGTGTTTGATTACGTTAAGAGACAGGCCGTTTGGAGCCGTCAGTTAGCTTCTGGTATGTCTAAATGTTTGCATTTCCTGCGGCTTTGAAGGAGAGTTTGTTAACATTTCCTGAAGCCTGCTCCATCCAACTTTAGGTTGTGTTTGGGTAATTTTCCTCTTCTGGAGCAGCAACTGTTCTTTTGCTTCTGTAGCTACTGATTAGAGGAAGTCTAGCCCTCAGCATGATCCTGCTGCGACTGTGCTTAACATGTTGTCTAACAGTTCATTTCTTTGATTCTGTCTGTGATATGTTCTAAAGGCGTTTGGCTTATTCATGTAGCTTAAAATCTCTGATGTTGAAGCTGCTGGTTTAGCTTTTTAATTTTGAATCTGAGCTCAAACTGCTGTCAGGGAACAGATTTCAGGCACCGTTAAACAGGTGCAAACAGGACAATAAACCCAAACGCATCAGAAACGGTTCGGAGTGAGTAAATTAAGCTAACATTAACTTTCTGCAATGTCCTCGGCTGAAATGCCATAGAAGTTTGATGGACTATGAAAAAGAGTCATGTCTGGGGCAGGAAACATAACATTTCAATAAAATACCAAATCTACTAAGAGTTAAGCCACATGGTTGCTGATAGCTACAAAAAGGTTGCAGAGGATTAGCTATCCAGGCTCTGTTTATTAAAACATCATATAGGCTGTGTCCGAACGTTCGCCCTAACCCCTAGATCCCTCAATATCTATACAGAGTGTGGACTATATAGTGGACTATATAGTGGCCTCAGGGAACTTACCATTCGGACAGATGATCACTACTTTTCGCTCTCCGTTGGTCACGTGACTCTGCCTCCCCACACGGTGGCTGCGCCATCTTTGTTTTGTCGCCAATGTCGGATAGTGACAGCCATAGGCGCTGCTTTGACAACAAATCCCATGATGCTCGATATATCCGCTCGTTTAGTGACTAACGATGATCCCTACTTTTCAAGGTGCATTGTGGGAAATTTCGAGTCCACTACTTTTTCATCCGCTAGACATTCGGACACTTCTCTAAAATGGCTTAACCACTATATAGAGCCCTATATAGTGATTAGGGTGGACATTCGGACACAGTCAGAGTTTATGTAAACATTAGCATCTTAACCTCAGCAGACCAGGTTCTTGAAAATAAAATTCATTTTAGCTTATTATTTCTCATCAAATGCTTCATAAAAAGCCCCAAACTAAAATCCCATCATGCCAGAGATGATCATCTGCAAACATATGACTGAAACTTGCAAAAGCCAAAGAAGGCAAGTTTTTTGACAAATGTGCACAAGCAGAGGCCTAGCACATGCATGCACGCACCCACACACCTTACATGTAAAGGCACAAGGTATTGCTAATGCAGAGGACGCATTCAGACATGATATAAAGACACATGATTAACTCCTTTCACTCATGCATCGTATTTAACCCCCTCACAGTAAAAACAGCTTTCAGGAAGAAGTGGCTTCCTCTTTCTGATTAACATGCAGAAAACGAAAATTAACAACACAAGAACAGAATGTACCGGTGTACAGTACCGACAGAGGTACGCCTTTTGGTATTTTAGCACTGACAGACACGCCCAGCTTGGCCTATGAGTAAGACTTCCAAATCAAAGGGACAAACATGTGATGTTTGAGAAAAAGTAAAGAAGAGGTTTTAGAAAAAAAAGGGACAGGATAAAGTTTGGGGGGAGAATCGGGGGTCTTAGGCCAGTTGTCTATGCAGGTCTGACCCGATTACTTTTGGCCCAATCTGACTCCAAACTGTGTTTAAGGTCAGGCAGAGGAGAGGTTCGCCGGACAAAGGGAGAAACACCGCCTTCACAGACACAGATTCTGTGCTCCTGTGGGATCCAACATGGATCAATAGAATAGGAGGTGTGGGAGGATACAAACATGCAGCTCTGAAGTGCTTAGTGGGCGGAGAGTAAAGTAGGGTCAACGGCGGGAAGGGCGACGGGCTGTTAGCCTCCGTTCCATCCACCTGGAAATCTCTCAGCCCTCTGAGCACTCCAGCTGGTGCACAAGTTCTTTACCAGCCTATGAGATTGGCTTTGGCCTTTTCTGTCAGTTTGCGGACGCGCCCCTTTGAGGATGTCCCAAAGGTGATTGAGGAGTCCTCAAACAGCAACTGCCTCTGCTCCTCCTCAGAGTCCTCCTCCATGTACCAGGCTGACCGTCGTCCTTGGTTGCGTGTGCGCATGGCCCCCATTGTCCCCTCTGCGTCCTCCTCCTTTGGAGAATCTTTCTGACTGGATCGCTGAGAGGCAGTGTGAGGATGAGGCGTGGCCTCCTCGTTTGTTCTCCTGCTGCTCCTTCTCAGTGGAGAGGGTTCAGGGGACTCCGCAGGAGGAGTCGACTCCATAGTTTTTACTAACCGGGGTCGGCCTCTTCGTCTAGGTGTCGAAGCCATGCCGGACTCAGAAGGTGCTGAGGTTTCTGGGGCGGAAGAAGCTCCGCCTTCGTCCCCGGTGGAGTGGTCCAACTCGTCATCAGGAGTGGTGCTCCTACGACTCCCGCTCCGTCTCATCTCCTCCTGGTCCTTCTTGCCCTTTCTGTCCTTCTTTTTGCCAGGTGGGCGACCTCGGGGTCTTGAGGGGCTGGCCGGAGTCGGGACTTCTGGAGGACTCACCGGTGAGTCCCTTCTGGACCTCCGTCCCCTTCTTCCCACGCCGAGGGTCATGTGACTGCTGTGACCGTTCAGATGGGCCGTGATTTGAGTTGAAGGGCTGGAAGGGGAACCTTAAGTAGAAAAAGAACAACAGGATAATGTTTATTGTTTGTTCTGCGAGTTCAGTTTTAAACCCAAGCTAGACCACTAACCAGGCGTGTGTCGCACTGGCGTCCTGAGTTTCCGACGAGTGCTGCCGCTGCTACTCTCTGCTGGTGGAGGGGGTGTAACCTTTTCAGGGACTGGTGGAGTTGAAGCCCGCACAGAATTATGAGTCCGTAGCGAGCGAGAAGATTCTAACAACAAAAAGGAGATACAACAGAGAGGCTATTAGCCTGATGACCAAATCAATTCAAAGTCTAAATACTTTGAGTAGAACAGAGGTCTTCATCACGGGGATAATTTAATCTCACCTCCTGTGTTTGGTGTGCTGTTGGTGAGATTATTTGAAGGAGGAGGTGAGGAGTGCGCAATATGGCGTGCAGAACTACGTGTCCGCCCTGGAGCTGGGGTGTCCACTTTACCATTGACCAGCTGAGGCGTCTGTTTCACAGGGACGTTTTGTCTGAGTGACGGCGGCCGTGAAGGAGCTGGTGATGGCTCCCTCTTAGCCGTCACCCTGGATGATACCCGTCTCTTCCTCTCTGGGCTACAAGCAAACAAACAGGGAGAGTGAGGGCCGTCTTTGTTTTGATCTGTAACAATTCAAGACAATTTTTACCTGGATGCATTGCTACTTGTGGGCGACTCGCTTCTCCTTCTCTTTGCCGTGTGCCGCGTTTGTCTGTCTGCAGTGTGTCGTGTCTGCCTGTCTGTCCCCCGCCTCGTCAGTTTATCCGTCATGCCGTGGATTGCTTTGTAATCCGACAGGATGGCGCTGATATGCTCTTCAAACAGCGCTGAAAGCCTCAGACTCATGCTGTATATCTGCAAAACATGAGAAACAACCCCAAATTTAATCATAGAAAAACAAAAAAAGCTTGGGTTAGATCTAGTCTTCTGCAAGTGATTCTCACCCTTGACTTTTTACTGGGTGTGTAAGCCTTGGAATTGCTGAAAATCAGCCGGACATCCTTGGATAGCTCAATAGGAGAGTGGTAATTTCCCCCTGTCAGCTTTTTTAAAACTGTCCCAAAGTCCATTGGAGAGTCAACTATTTGCAGGTAGTCCTTATAGATGGAAACAAACGGGAAAGAACAAAGGTGATCAGAATAATCTGCAGCAGTGGTGAAGCAGCAGGAAGTGTTGGTTCCTCATATGAGGAGGTTTTGTACCGTATATTCTTGCAGGTCAACAGGTTCTCTAAAGGGCTCAGAATCCTCACACTGAAAGATGAGGTCTAGCAGCTCCTTGCAGCGTCCTTTCCAGGCATGAGGATCGTAAGAACGAGGCCGTGTCCGTAGCTTGCGCTGCATGGGTTGACGGCCCTAAACAGGAAATTTAAAGTAAAGAGCAAACCCTGCATCCGTCCCTTCTTCTTTATCTTTTATTTCTCCCTCATGAACAGCCAGCACTGGTTAATGGAGATCTATCAGCTATTAGCCATGTTACCTTATGATTTCGGGTTGATGTTCCTGGGGTGTTAATATCTTCGTCATCATCCTCATCATCCTATACAGGGAAAAAATAATAAAGGGCCCATTATAACTTCCATTTTCCTTCCTCATATTTTCAAGAGTGACATTGGTTTTCATATAATTAATTGTCATTACTTCAAAAAAGCCTCAGGTCCTCATATCCAATTAATTGTCTTTAAAACAGAAAAAAGTATCTGGAGGAGGATGGTGATATTTTGATAGAATACCCTGTATTTTGTTTCTGGTATGAATGTGATGTAGTAATATATTAAAATAAACGGCATTATGTCTGGATCTAAACCCTCCCTTTTAGCTCTAGCTTCATGTTCCGGCTTCTATTCCTGCTGTACGTTTAACATCTGGCTTAGTCTCCAGTCCCCTGAAGTTCTCTCTAAATGGTTTACCAGCTGCCCTGTCTCTGCAAATGGAAAACATCCCCACAGCATGATGTTGCCACCAACATATCTAACAGTGGAGATATTTTCTGAGTTGTAAGCATTTTGAATTGGTCTAAGCTACCCACATCTCACATGTGTTTAATGTGTGATGTGTCTCATACATTCAACAGGACTCCTTATGGATTTCTTTGACAATCACTTTTTTTCCTGCAACTCCTCCATGACAGTGAAACTTTTGGAGTGCCCGACTAATATTTGTACATCAAACAGTTTTTTTTAAACCTAACACATTTTGAATGCTGTCTCTCTGATCCATCCCCAGATAAACCTCACCATAACTCCCCCTTCAACCTGTCGCCTGTGTTGTTCCATCTTCACTGAGCAATTTGTCTACTTAGAAACCCCTCAGGCCTTCATACAACATTCGCATTTGGTTATGCTACTTCTTTAATGGTTTCAGAGTGAAGGTTGGCTGAACTCTTTTTAGATATTTCTTAGTGAAAAAATTTTAAAAGCCCTAAAAGGTTTTCTCACACTCAACCATTATTTGCTC